TCTTCTGGAGGTGATACTGGATAATTAAAACCAAGGGTATGAGATTGCAAAAGAATTTTGAGAATATTTTAAAAGAAGAGAGCCAGGAACATAATCCTGATGAACATCTGTTTTTAGTGAGTGTGAGGAAGATGGGCCAGATAAAGAGCTTTTAGAAAGGAGAAAAACCAAGAGAAGCACTCATGGAAGCCAAATGAAAATACCTTTCAGCAAAGGGATGTTGGTAAGCTAGTGTGCAGAAAGATAATGACTTCCTTTTTATTGAAAAGGCTTGCTTGGGTCCTTTTTTGTTTGTTTGCTTGTTTTTGTTGTTGTTGTTGTTTTTGAGACAGAGTCTCACTCTGTTGCCCAGGCTGGAGTGCAATGGCGGGATTTCAGCTCACTGCAACCTCCGTTTCATGGGTTCAGGTAATTCTCATACCTCAGCCACCTGAGTAGCTGGGATTATAGGCGTGAGTCCCTGTAATCCCAGCTAATTTTTTGTAGAGACAGGTTTCACGATGTTGGCCAGGCTTGTCTCAAAACTCCTGAGCTCAAGTGATCCACCTGCCTCGGCCTCCCGAAGTGTGCTGGGATTACAGGTGTGAGCCACTGCACCTGGCCTGCTTAGGTTTTGATGTTTATTTTTTTCTGTGTATTTATTTCAACACATATTTAGTGAACATTTGTCAGATTAACTTCAAATTCATGTTCTTAACCATGTAAAGGAGTATTAAAAGGTATCAGGTAATCTAGTTGAACCAGATTTTAAGGTACATATAGTGGTAAGTAGAACTAGAAAGTCGTGTTGGGTCCATTCTATGAAAGGACTTGCATGCTAGCCAGAGGAATTTATTCATAGTAGGCATGGAGAGCCATTGTTTTATTTTAGAAGTGGTTAGATTCAGACTGTATTTCAGAAAACTGAAAATTCCGAGAAAATTATCAGAAATGGAAGTTCAGTCAGGGTATTACCAAGCCTAGCTAACCAAAAAAATTTTTTTGTACAGATAGGGTGTCACTATGCTCCCCAGGCTGACGTTGAACTTCTGGCCTCAAGCAATTCTCTCACCTCAGCCTCCTAAAGTGCTGGGATTACAGGCGTAAGCCACTGTGCCTGGCCAGCAATACATATTTTTAATATAATGTTATATATGGCAGATTTGACAAAGTATTTGGCTTCTAGATTTTCTTTGTCGTTTTTTTCAATTATAAACATAATAAAAGCTCTGCAGAAAGTTTTAGAAAAGTGGAGAAGTTTAAAGAAGAAAGCACAAGGCAGTAGGGCAGCTTTTAAACTTTTAGAATTAAATGTGTAATTCAAATTTGAGTATGATGTGACTCAGATTCTAACTGAAGGTGTGAATAAGTTAGGATTCTTTATCTTTATTTTCATTAACGGAATTTAGTGCATGTTTTATTGTTGATATCAAGTAAAGCACCCTAGCTTATTTTACACATCAAATTTGCATATATTCGTATACAAATGATTTCATGAATATTAACGTTTTTTAACATGACTTGTCAATTTCTCCGAAGCATCATATTCTCGAAAAGATAAAGACCAAAGGAAGCAGCAGGCAATGTGGCGAGTGCCCTCTGATTTAAAGATGTTAAAAAGACTCAAAACTCAAATGGCCGAAGTTCGATGTATGAAAACTGATGTAAAGAATACACTTTCAGAAATAAAAAGCAGCATTGCCGCTTCTGGAGACATGCAGACAAGCCTTTTTTCTGCTGACCAGGCAGCTCTGGCTGCATGTGGAACTGAAAACTCTGGCAGATTACAGGATTTGGGAATGGAACTCCTGGCAAAGTCATCAGTTGCCAGTTGTTATATACGAAACTGTAAGTAATATGTTCCTAGTGTCATTTCTCCACATGTTATTTGGGAAACTAGATGACTGTTTTTTTCAAAAGAATAATATTTAAATACCTCTATTCCAGTGAATTAAGACTACAAATACATGTGACTTTTTTCCTCATCCAAAATTGATTCCGTATATTTTTACTATATAGTAGAGCTAACATTTCTTGATTGCTTACTCTGTATTTGGCAATGAACACGACAAAATTCTTAACATCATAGATCTTGTATTCTAGTAATGAGAATCAGACATTAAAATGTGTAAACAAATCAAGATCATTTCAGTGGGTAAAAGGTGCTGTGAAGGAAACAACCGAGGAGTGGGATGGGAGGAGCATATGAGACATGTTCTATTGGGGTAGTCAGAGAAAGTCTCTGTGAGGAGGCAGCCCTTGACCTGAGACCTGAAGGTTAGGAAAGTGGCAGCTATTTAGAGATCTAAGGCAAGCAGTGTTCTGGGTAAACAGAACGGAAAATGCAGAGTCACTGACACAGTATTTATTTTGCGTATTTGAAGGATTGAAGGAAAACCAGTATAGCAACGAAAGCAGAGAGAGGAGACTAGCAGGAGATGAAGTCAGAGAGAGGTAGGCAGAATTTAGATCAGGCAGAGTCTTGTAAAACCTCAAAAAGGAGTTCAAGTTTTATGATGTAAGGAGGAAGCCTCTGGAGAATAAAAATAGGGGATGTTTATAATCTGACTTACACTTTATAAAATGACTTTGCTTGTTGTGTGGAGAAGGATCTGAAAAGGGTTGAGGACAGGAGTTGTGAGACCAGGAACAGCCTATTACATTATCTTGTGTGAAATATGATGGCATTTTCTGGAGTTATAATAGTGGATAGAGGACTTACTCACAGGCCAGCAGCCTTTCTGACTGAGGTTTCCATCTTTCTTAGTTCTCTTAAGGATGTGCTATTCTCTTCTAGATGCATAGGAGGGGAGTTAATCCAGTCTTAGATCAGCAGTGCTGAGTTCTTTCTCAGAACAATAGTTGAAAAAGCCTAAATAGAGTTTTAGCAAAAGTAAGAAAGTAAGAATTATGATTAAGTTTTGGCCTAAGCAACTTAGTAGCCAGTGGTATCATTTATTGAGAAGCAAATAAGATAAGAAGCAGGTTGTGGGGCTTGGGAGGAGGTAAGGGCAGAAAGTGGGTATTCTTTTTTAAACATGTTAAATTTGAGACACCTGCTAGATATCCTAGTAAAATGTCATAGACACACGAATGGTACACAAGTTTGAAACTCAGAGAGAGGTCAATGCTGGATATAAACAGTTGGGAGTCAGTAGTATTTTCTATTATTTAAATCCAGAGGACTGAATAGGTCAAGTTTGGAGGGAGTTTCAATGGAGAAGCAAAATTTTGACTCTGTGGCACTTGAACATTTAAAGGGCTGATAAATAGGAGAGGCCAGCAAGGGAAGTTGAAAGAGCAATCATTAGGGTAGGAGAAAAACTAGAAGGGATAATATGTCAAAAATCAAAAATAATGCATCTCAAGAAGTAGAGTGGTTACCCCTGTGTTAAATATCATTGAGAAGTGTCAAGGCAAGAGGCCAAGTGGCCCTTTTAAGAACCATTCCCATGGAGTAGTGTAGCAGAAGAGTGAATGAGGCCAGGGACCAGAGCGCAAATGTACAACTTCTTTAAAAGAAGTTTCACAATGAAGTAGGTAGAAGCTGGAGGAGGTGTGGGGTCAATAGTTTCTTGTTGGCAGGGGTGTCCTTTTTTGTGTCCTCTTCAATTTTTTTCATCTGTGAATTAAACCCATTTTAAAACTAGGTTGGGTTGTTTATTTGTAGTTGACTTTTAGGAGTTCTGTATATATTTTAAATATTAATCTTTTATCAATTATATGATTTGCAAATGTTTTCTCCCAGTGTGGGGGTTGCCTTTTCCCTCTGTGGATTGTGTCATTTGACATTTAAAGTTTTTAATTTGAAGAAGCACATTTTATGTGTTTTTCCTTTTGTTCCCTGTGCTTTTGGTGTCATAACCAAGAAAACATTGCCGAATCCATTGTCATGAAGCTTTCTCCTGTTTTCTTCCAAAAGTTTTAGTTCTTGCTTTTAGTCTTACTTTTAGTCTTTCATCCATTAGGAATTAAGTTTTGTTTATGGTGTCAGGGAAGGGTCTGACTTGCCCATGGATATCCAGTTTTCCCAGCGCTATTTGTTGAAAAGACTTTTCTTTCCTCATTGAATGGTTTCAGCACCGTTGTCTAAATCATTTGACCATATAGATGAGGGTCTGTTTCTAGGTTCTCTTTGTGTGTGTTGTTTATTAAAATTGGCTGTAATAGGCCAGGCGCGGTGGCTCAAGCCTGTAATCCCAGCACTTTGGGAGGCCGAGACGGGCGGATCACGAGGTCAGGAGATCAAGACCATCCTGGCTAACACGGTGAAACCCCGTCTCTACTAAAAAATACAAAAAACTAGCCAGGCGAGGTGGCGGGCGCCTGTAGTCCCAGCTACTTGGGAGGCTGAGGCAGGAGAATGGCGTAAACCCGGGAGGCGGAGCTTGCAGTGAGCTGAGATCCGGCCACTGCACTCCAGTCTGGGCGACAAAGCGAGACTCTGTCTCCAAAAAAAAAAAAAAAAAGTTGGCTGTATTAATGTTTGATACCGATGTGAATAATCCAGTAAAGATGGGTTGGCGAGGAGATAATTGCAAAATTTATAGAATTCTCTTAATATAAGGAAGACAATTTAGTAGAATGAATAAAGGTTATGAATAGGCCATTAACATAAAAAATACAAATGTACAATAAAAATATGAAAAGATACTTGGCCTCACCTGCTATTCAAGGAAATAGTATATTAAACCAAATGGTATATTAAAACCAAAAGTACAGCTTTTTGAGTGAACTTTCTCAAAAAGCCTTTGTTACATATTTTGCAGATACAGTCGACCCTTGAACAGCACAGGCTTGTTGTACTGTACAGATCCACTTAATATTCGAATTTTTTTCAACCAGAGGAAGATTGAAAATACAATATTCGGGTGATGCCAAACATGCATATAGGAAGGCCAACTTTCATATAGGCAGATTCTGCAGATCTTACGGTGGGACTTCAGTTGAGGATTTTGGTGCAGGGGTCCTGGAACCAACCCCCACGTATTCCAAGGGACAGCTGTCTCTTCCCCATTGCCACCTTTTTTTCCTGCTAATCACAGAGATTTAAAATTTTATCTTAGACATCTGTATTATTAATATTCATGGCATTGGGGGTCTTACTGTTTTTATTTGGAAGGATTTTTAACTCCCAAGTTAATAAAAATAACCCTTAATTTCTTCTGGTACTTTTTGTTTTCTAACTTTTTTACATATAGGTCATTAATTCATGTGAAGTTAATTTTATATGATGCTGTGTGAGGTAAGTGGAATGATGTTTTCCCCAAATGAATGAAACATGTTTTTTGAAATATGCTGCAATATGAAATCCATCCTTTATTATAGAGCAGATTCCCAAACATGGTTCTGTTTTTGAACTCATAGAGGCTGAAACAAATGAAATTGCCAGTACTCAAGTTTTGGACATACAGAAACAGCAATTTGGTATTGTTTAACCCACTATTTGTCATGTCCTCTACCAGACTAACACTTTTTTTTAACTACTGTAGTTTTATAGTTTGTAATACTATGATAGGATATGTTTATTCTGTTTTTGTTTTTCAAAATGTTATTGGTAGTTCTTGCACATTTAATCCTCCTCCAAAGTATTTTGACTGGAATTGCTTTACATTTAAAAACTGGTTTGGGGATGCTAGGCACTGTGGCTCATGCCTGTTCCTCCCAGCATGATGGAATGCTGTTGGGAGAGGATGGCTTCTTGAGCCCAGGAGTTCAAGATCACATGGCAAGACTTTAATCTCTACAAAAGTAAATTTTTTTGATAAGCCAGTCATGGTAGTATGTACCTGTAATCCCAGCTACTTGGGAGGCTGAGGTGGGAGGATTGCTTGAGGTCAGGAATTTCAGGTGCAGTGAGCCATGATCGTGCCACTACACTCCAATCTGGGCAAGAGTCTTTCTCTCTTAAAGAGAGAGAGATTAATTTGGGCAATTGATACCTTTTCAGCATCAAAGCATTCATGTCTAGGAATGTGGTGCTTCTCCATTTATTCAGGTCATCTATTATATTCATATCCTTTTTTAGAATTTTCAGTTTTTTTCATGTAAGTTCTATATATGTCTTGTTGAATTCATTTATCAACATATTATATTTCAGGTAGCTATTGTGAGTGGAATCTCTTTTTCTCTCATAGTATTTTCTAATTGTTACTGACATAAAAGACAAAAATACTGATTTTTATGTTTATTCTGTATTCAACCAATGTAACAATTTTTTTTGTGTGCGGTAGGGGATGGAGTTTCACTCTTGTTGCCCAGGCTGGAGTGCAATGGCACGATCTCGGCTCACTGCAACCTCTGCCTCTTGGGTTCAAGTGATTCTCCTTTGTCAGCCTCT